AGTCTTAAAGCGGCCCAGGTTGGAGACCCCTGATTTAGGTGACCCTTGTGGTCTCTTCCAACTCTATCATTCATGGCTGGCTGAGGAATTATGGGAGTTGAAGTCCACAAGTCTTAAAGCGGCCCAGGTTGGAGACCCCTGATTTAAGTGACCCTTCTGGTCTCTTCCAACTCTATCATTCATGGCTGGCTGAGGAATTCTGGGAGTTGAAGTCCACAAGTCTTAAAGTGGCCAAGTTTGAAGACCTTTGTTCTAGATGTCCATGAAGTCAAGCAGAAGCTGGATTTGATTTGAAAGACCATTTTATTTTTCATGGCGAAGACTTTGACCAGTATATCACCTAGAATTGATTCACCAAATCATCTCCTTCTAATTTTCTTTGCGCAAGATGCTCACCAAAACTCTCCATCATCCTCTACTGTCATTCCGAGTTTCTCTCGTTCACTGGTGCTGACTTTCTGCCATTCCTCCGAGCTGGGGGGAAAAAAATAAAATAAATAAGATTTGGGATGGCGAGAACCCTTCGGGGCCATGTCAGTATAATTTTACATTCTGGGAACAAGCCTATACATTTAGTCCTTGACTTACAGCCATTTGTTTAGCGACTGTTCAAAGTGAGCCATGAAAAAAATGCCACAGGACCACTCCTCACATTTTGCAGCATTCCCCAAGATCAAAGTGATCAAAATTCAGGCACTTAGCAACTGGCTAAGTTGTATTTAAGACAGCTCTGGCATCCCCAGGTCATATGATCGGTATTTGTGATCATGATTCACTTAACAACTGAAGTGTTTCGCTTAACAACCAACTTGCATTTACAATGGTCTCCGTCTCTTGTGGTTACATGGCTGTGATTTGCAATCTTCTCGACTGGCTTCTAACAAGCAAGGTCAATGGGGGAAGCCTGACTTGTTTAATGACCATGCGATCCACTTAACAACATGGCAAAAAGGTGGGCTTTGGGCCTCAAAAGCCATGTGGCTGATTTTGGGCCAATCACCAGGAGATGGTGAGTTCTAGTCCTGCCTTAGGTATGAAAGCCATCTGGGTGACTTTGGGCCAATCACTAGGAGACTGTGAGTTCTAGTCCCGCCTTAGACATGAAAGCTGGTTGGGTGACTTT